AAAGACAAAGCCACAAAACAGTTTAATTTATGTGCAATTGAAACGAACTTCAGCTCTGGTAGTAAACCAACAAATAAATAGAGAGTTTCTCCCATTTGGAATCCGTATTCCCTGGGCTTAATCATTAGACATTAGACCTGCCCAAAAAGCCGAGAGATGTGCCCACTCTGATAAAAGTTTCGTGGCAATTTGATTTATTTGCCCAGGGAGCAAGGGGATTTTTATCAATCGGTGGTGGTGGTGGTGGTGGAAAAAGGTGCCAAATTCAACGCAAAACCAGGCACACACAACACACAACAATTACAATTGTGAAATGCGTTGTGCAGTGGGTCTAGACGGGCCTGGTCTGTTGCTATTTAATTTCGCCCCAGCTGCTGACGACTGACTCAATTTCGCGCACACAACGAAAGGCAATTACTTTAATTATGCGACTGCACCGCATTGAAACAAAACCAAACCGAAAAACAAAACCCAATCACAGGGGCGACGACAAGCCACCGAACAAACCGAAACGGACTGGGCCAAAGCGAGCCAAATCATCAGATTGGATGGAGCAACACATGAAGGATGCCGGGGATCCGGTGGAGTGTGCTCCACTCCAACGTCCGTTCGGTTTGGCTTTTTGGGTTAGGTAACCCACAGTGCACAGTCAGCCGCAAACGCCTGACGTGGCAAAGGGGTGTGCCCCCGACGACGACCACGACGAGCACAACAACGGCGACGCACTCCCCATCCGTTGGCCCATAAAAAAAAGACAACAAAAAACTCCAAATCTTTTTATGGGTATTTTTAATACCCTTCCATAGGTCATTCTCATTTGTCCTCAGATTAGTTATGCAAATCTGCAATTAGTAGTTGGGTCATGACAGAGGGGTTCTTTTAAAAAGTCTTGTTATTAAATACCTTGTAATTATATTTTAAATATTATAATTTAGTTTTAAATGAAGCACATTTTATTTTCTGTGTCTTATACAGCTTCAGATACAATATACTTGGAATAGGTTTCAGAAATTAACAGGGATTTTAAACCATTTAAAAAGGCTTTTTGAAATCGTATTTTTTACGATGTTAAATTTTTGTAGCACAAACTTTTAAATTATAATATATATAATTTATAGTAATAATAATAATAATAAGAACTTCTGAAAATATTTCAGTACGATAATTATATCAATTTCATATATGTTTAATTTTTAAATATTCTTCCGTTTTATAAATTATATTTACTTTCATTTCAATTATAAACACAGAACAAATGAACAATAAATCAAAAGATCTTTTAAAAATATTCTTAATCCCTTGACATAATCCAAGGACATAAAAAATGTAGTTCTTTATATATATTTTAATACAAACTAAATGTAAGATCACTAAAAACCAAAATATATATATTTTGCTATAAAATAAAAAACGTAAAAGAAATAAGTCAAAAGTAATAAAGAAAGGCAATAACAATTGTAAGGGCATTCAATAAAATACTATAAAGTAGCCTGTCCAGGCACACTGTTTCTCTTTTGTTTTTCTCACGCACAAAACTCTTTGACATAAGGCCTCCCCGCACAACAAATGCGTGGCTAATGGACTTGGCTACAGTAGATATAGATATCGAGATTTATGCTCGGACGTGGGACATTCGAATGTGTGAATAACCGAGCAGTTTTTACAATTTGTCGCCGCAGCAATTGCACCTCAGAGAACGAGCGCTCGCGCACCCGCCTAATTACAATTTGATTGTTTTTCTTTTTCGCAGTAATTATTTGCAATTGTAATAAATTTCGCTGGCATTTTTGCGAAACATAATTTTGCAATTTGTCGACGTCCCCCAAACTACTAGTGTGTGTGTGTGTACGAGAGTGCCTAATAATTTCATTTTTAATTTTATGCTTTCTGCACTTTGTTGATCGGTTTGCGTGGGAGAGGCAGAGGCCGGCTGGATTTGGCCTAATTGGTTTCTGCTTTTCGAGGCGTGTTCACTCTGTGTGTTTGCCCAGTTAATTTGTTCGAGCTAAATAATTAGCTAACCTGTGGCTAACTAATCACCGTGGCTAGCTGAATTGAATATATAAATGCTTTTATGGCTTATGTGGCATGGTTAATGCTACCATTTTTGGGCTAGGCTTTGAGTGAGAGAGCAGCAAGCTTAAAAGAGTTTTAATAACTATTTCTTGTTTTTTTTTAAGAAATAAGTGTTTGAAAAATATTTAAGCAACTAAGAAGAAAGCTGCAGTAGAGTACTTAAAATTAATCATTTTAATTTGGCAAATTTTAACCTAGAATTATGTTGTAGTAGCTCTTTTATTCTCTGAAATCTGATAGCTAAATTGAATCGCCTGATGATGATCCCAAAAAAAAAAAATTGAATCACATCTCGAGCTGCCACAACACCTCTCACTCCATATAGAGACCGAGATCGACATTGATTCGTTATCTCCTCGGAAGTTTCAATTAAAATCGCAGATGGATCGTTAGTTGCGATTACTCATCGCACCTCTCGATCACATCAGCTGCAGCTGCATTCAGTTGCCTTCCCTTGTCGATAGTCTAACGACTAGGCCCACACTCGAATCATTGGCCAAGTTGTGCTTTTAGCCAGGTTGTGCTTTTAGCCAGGGGGCCCCATACAAACATTCAACTCAATTACCCAATCCAAATCACCGGCAAACAAACTGAGAACTAAACTGAGACACAAAAAAAGAAAATAAGTAAACACTGAAAACCGACAACTGCGGAACAAGGTTAAGGTCAATTACAAAACACAAAAGCAGCGACAACTGCCAGAGATCTGAATAAATTACGCATGAAATTTAGAATTTAAAATTAAGAACAAGTTTTTATGTCTGCTTTCAGTTGCAACAGCAGCAGCAGAAAGGCATGCGAAATATAAATAAATAATTCAAGAGGTTTGTTTCGGAAATGCGATATAAAATATAAGTCGGCAAGGAGTTACCCTTTTTTGTGAATCAAAATAGGGTTAAATATATTGTAAAATTAATAAAAAACAAGAAAGGAAGCTAACTTCGGCACGCCGAAGTTTGTATACCCTTGCAGATAGAATTTCTTTGACTAGGAATCCATACAATATAAATGATATATATTTGTGTTAAAAAACAATGAAGTAATACCTGCTTTCATTTCATTCACCTATACATATTATATTTGCAGTTTTACATTCCCAGATTTGCATTTTCCTCAACATTAAACGATCGTTTGTATGGCACCTATATGATATAGTCGTCTGATTTTCATGAAATTTGACCCAAAGACTAATATAAAATGGCTATACCTCAAATTTGATGAAAATCAGTTGAAAACTGAAAAAGTTATAAATTTAATTGTATTAATTTCTCGATCGTTCCTATGGGAGCTATATGATATAGTAGTCTGATTTTTATAAAATTTTACACAAAATTGAAGAGTATAATAAAATGGCTATATCTCAAATTTGATGAAATTCTGTTGAAACTGAAAATGTTATATTTTTCTAAAAATTATCCATCATTTCTATGGCAGCTATATGATATAGTCGTCCGATCTGGCCCGTTCCGACATATATACGAGTGAGAGCATATAGAAGGCTAACTACAAAGTTTTATTCAGATAGCTTCAAAACTGAGAGACTAGTTTGCGTAGAAACGGACAGACGGACATGGCTAGATCGACTCGGCTGTTGATCCTGATCAAGAATATATATACTTTATATGGTCGGAGGTGCCTCCTTCACTGCGTTGCAAACTTCTGACTGAAATTATAATACCCTGCAAGGGTATAAAAATCCTCCTAAAACTTTTTATAATGATCCTAAAAAATCCATTTCAAAAGGCTAATCTTGTTCTCTCAATTTAAAAATGTCTCATAAAAACTCTCTACAGTACTCTCAACTCATTACTCACGACTTCCTTCAAATATATTTAATAATATAAACCATATGCCCTCGTTTTCAATGATTACTGGGTGCAAAATGAGCAACTTCCAAGGCAACATTAAATTACTGTGGGGGCTGGGAAGGAAGCAGAGCAGAATCACAGACACAGCAAATGAATCAAGCTTTATGTACAACAACAAATCAAGCTAATGAGCCACATAACCAAGTTATGCAAAGCCAAAAGAAAACAAGAAAACTAACTAACAAAAAATAGAAAAAAAGCAAATTAATATTGAGCAATTACCGCAAAGTTCTGCAGGCGAATACTTATATTTTTCCCACTGCCAAAGAAGCGGCAAGGTCAGTCGCAAAATACAGCAACCGCACGAAACTTGTCATCAGAAGCCACATTAACAAAATCTACACGACTGCAGATAAAGAAATCAGAATAAATCAGAAAAATCGAAAATGAAGTAGTCACCCAAAGCATTTTGGGTTATAAGGAACATGAACAAAGCCAATAAACTTTGTCAAACTATGATTATATTTAAAATTAAATTAAATTAAATTAAATAGAATGAAATGCAGAAGAATATGTTGACACTGACTAGGAACATATTGCGCAACACTAAATAAGGACAAATGTTGTTAGGAACATGTTGAGCAATACCTAATGTTTTTATCTAATTTTGAATAGTTATTTTACTGTAATATTCAAAAGGTTAACACTTATAAAATTTGAAGAAAAAAATATTAAAATTAACCAAATTGCTAAAATTGAATTAAAATTCTATAAATTTTCCACAAATTTTTCCTAGTGTAAGAGAACAAATGTTGCACAATTGTTTGCGACGCCACTAGCGGAGTCTAGTCTTAGAAGCGGGTCAGACACATCTGAGGTTAAAGTTAACTCGGCTACCGACTCATTAACTGGGTTAGGGAGTGGCAGGCTAATCCGATTTGTATCTTGACATTAAAGCCAACGGATCGACACCGCCGTGAACTGTAGTACCCAGACTTTAATGTATTTCCCCTCGAAGAAACCTTGAACTTTGAAATTTTTGAGGCTTGGCCAAGTCGAGTAATTGTTTTGTTATTGTTTTTCTATTTGCTTGCAGATTGCCGCGAAACGGTTCGCTCGAAGCGAGCAAAGCGCCCACGCGCCCCGGAACCGGTTAACTTTGAACCGGAGCCGCAACAGGATCTGGAGAACGATGAGAGCAGCAGCCAGGAAAAGGATCTCCCAGAAATACCCGAAAACTTTCTCAGTCCCTCGGTGCGAGAGTATCTTGAGCTAGGAAAATCTATTCCTGGTAAGTTAGTGAAGTGTGGTTTTATTTAGGGGATTTATTTAGAATTCGTTATTTATTTTATTTAGATAAATAAGTTATTGAACACCAGAGTTGTTACCTGATTGAATAATAATTATTATTTGAATTATAATTCACACAAACAAGTCTTTTGGGATGAAAATGTTGCAGTTCTTAGATTGTCACTATGAATGCAAGCGGTTAGTCTTTAAATTTATTTATTATATTATTAATTTTATGATTAAATCCCTTGTTAATTATTTAGTAATTTTGAATATTACAAAGTTAATGTACTACAATTGTAGAGGAAATGAGTAGTTTTAAAAGGAATATGTTAATTTGTATCGAATGTTTCCAGGAATTTTAAAATCAGTAGACACCATTGGAGGCTGAACTTCATAATTCTCATTTTTATGTGCAATCTCCGATTACCTGCTTGATTTATATATGTATAATTATCATTCCATGAAAACTAGTTTAGTCAAAGATTAAATGGAAATCATAAATTTGAAAATGATAAGGTAAATTTCAAGCGACTAATCCATGAAATACAAAATAAACTTTGTAACATAGTACAATTATTTTACATTGTATTTTTATCATACTTTGTATCATAATTTGTAATTTGTAAATTCCTATTACAATATTTGTTCCTTCCCTTAGTACTTGCTTCTGTCCTATTATAAATTTTTAATGCAATTGACATGCCAATCAAATATGCAGCTCCCCAGTCGGACATCATTAAGTATGCCAGAAAACTCGATGAACAATGAAAAAGTGTCCTCCGAATGGGGCCGGAAGCATTGCCAAAAAAGATATATTTTTTCGGGCTTTTCCAGGCAACGAAGCTGAAGATGGGGATGTGAAAATGCATTTCGAGCCATCAGCCACAGGCCCGAAAAAGTGCACGATTTTAAATTATTTTTTTCGGCGAACGAAATGAATATTTGGCACAGAAGTGCATCTACTCGTAAATTCATTTATTAGTGCCAGAGAGTCCAGAGACTGTGGATCCGGTTCGGAACGGGGATTTGTTTATGTCGCGTTTATTTTGGATTCTCCCCAGTATTGTATTTTTGTTTATTGCATTTTGGTGACCCCGGGGCAGCGCCTGCAGTTGACACTCCTCCTGGGGAGGAAGGGGCATGTTTTTTCTGCGGCAGGTTTCTTTCAAGTAAGGTTTCGAATGAAGTGAAATTGATTGGAAACCAATGGACAGCATGATATGCAGTTTGTTTTGGTTTCAGTTTTATAAGTTGGCCACAGCATCGCTACTAATTGCAATAACAAAATCAAAATCATTTGCAGGTCGCCCAGGCGTAGACTATCCCATTCTCTCGGCTGTACCATATACCAATTTCTACTGCGATGAGCAAGAGTATCCCGGATTCTTTGCCGACATGGAGACCCGGTGTCAGGGTGAGTTCAAGACCTAGAACTTCTATTTAGTAGTACTTATTGGATTGTATTTCCCTGCAGGTTGGCACTATTGCGACATCGATGGACGCCAGGCCTCCTTCCTCTGCCCAAATGGCACCCAATTCTCACAGGCGGTCTTCGTCTGCGACTGGTGGTTCAATGTGCGCTGCGATCTCTCACCCCGGCTGTATGCCATCAACGCCCGGCTCTATCAGCGCCCCAAGGTGAATCCCACCCGGCCTCATCGCATCATCACCAAGCAACTGGTCGAGGACATCTTCACCTGAACCTGAACCATGAGAGATCTGTATCTGATGTATCATGTAGCCTAAGTTTGCCGATGCCTATTAGTTTGTAGCTTAGTTCTTATTAGAGATTGGATTGTTCTCACCAAGCTGATAATTAAAGCAGCAAAAAAAGACACCATTGCAAGGAATAGTTAAATGAAGCAAATTATAAAAATCGGTTAATTTAAAAATGTAATATATATAAGGTATTATAGGTTCTATTAGCTCCTGTGCAGGCCTAATTGTTTAAAGACTTCAATCTCATTTTCCAAGATTTCCAAGGTAGAATTTGTATTCAACAGAAAGTATGGGTTATATTAAATTCTAAAAAATAAAATGAAGGTAATAATTTTAATATAATAGTTATACCTACATCTTACGTACCTTTCTATAATTAACTAAATTGTATACCTAAGTTAAATTTTGTGTTAGTTTAAAATTAATTAAGATTTTGTAAAATATTCAAATAAGTTTTGTACATACTATACATTTTTTCAATTAAAATTTAAATAAATATTATTCATAAGCAGAATACAAAATGTTTACTTTATGGGTTTAAAGTTCTTACATCAAAGCAATAAATATCTATTTATCGACTTTTTTTTAGATATCTTTGCGATAAATCTATCTTCTGTTTAATATATTGGATCACCATAATAGTAAAATATGAGATAAATAATTTAAATAGCATATTAGTGATATAAAACGATGCTCTATTCCAAAATATTCGATTTTTTAACGTTAAAAAGTGTATTTTTCAATATATAAAAAATTATACATTTTATTATGACATTCAGGGCGATATGTTTATCGATATAGGACTTTTCAACTCAATTTGTTATTTTTTATGATTTTTATGGATGAAATAGATTGAAATTGTCTATGATTTTAAAGAAGACATTATGCAAAATAAATTTGAATAAAATCGTTGCATATAAACTTGTTAGAGCTTAGGTAAAATATTTCATTTCTACCAAACCAAAATGCATCCTGTATGTAACAATTTATATAGTTCTTAAATTATATTTATTAGGAATTTAGAAAGAAAAAACACCATAATATGAACATTTCGGCTGCCTTTTGTATAGTTTCACCTGTCTTAATTCTTTCTGATTACGGAGACTTGTTCTCTTAACTTAACTGCAGTTTTTAAGTTAACCCACTCAGAGCACCTAATTTTCCCCTTTCCTACTGTATTTAATTCCAACCAACCAGTTTTTCCACAGCTCAAGTTTAGGCGCTCTCTGAAAATATCCCACTGAGTAGCTGGCTGTTGCATACTTTGCGCCACATATGCCAAAAATAGGCCAACAAACGAGCCAAGTCCATGCCAAGTTGGCCAACAAAATACGTCAATAGCAGAAGCAGATGTAGCGCAGCAGCATCAACGTCAGCAAAAGCATCGACAAAAGCATCACGAAAGCCCAAAAACAAAAATAATAAAAAAAACAGCAACAAACTGCAAAAGGCAAGAGCCAAAACCGTCTGATGGCCAGATGCTCGTCAAGCGGCTCAATGGTCTAGGGTATGATTCTCGCTTTGGGTGCGAGAGGTCCCGGGTTCAAATCCCGGTTGAGCCCGGCTCACAATTATTTTTGTATATACCAACTTTATGGCTAACCTCCTCCCTCTTCCCCCCCAAGTTAATTAAATAAACAAACAACTAAGAGCTAGGCGAAGTGAAGCGTTGATGTGAAATGCAGATATCTAAGGCATTTTTCGGCCAACAAATAAACGAACGTTGCACCGATGGCAATGCGTTGATTGGATGGAAATAAAGTGAAGTTGCAGCTCGGTAGAGGTGCAAACAGTGTTGGGAATATGATGTACCTTGGGTACTTTGTAGTATTAGAGATTTTAGGTACCAATTTGAATTTATTTCTATATATTTCATTAAATAATATTGCTTTACTTTAGCAGAATTATGAATCTAACCTTTAAAATAGACTATATAAATATATATGGGAATTTAACTTTATTTCAATCTATATTAATGAACATAATAAAATAAGGTGTACCTGGAATTCATACAGGTACTCCTTTGAGTTACAGATTCTAGGTACCATATAGGTTTATTTTTTTTCCGCCAAGGATTATATTAATTAATAATTAACTAAATATTAAATAACGTGTACCTTGAGTACATGTTGATAACTTTGTTGTAGTACAAAAACAAGGTAACATTACCAATTGTTTTAATTTATTTCATCCAAGCATAATGTTTAATTCCAGAAGAATGACTGAATCGCCCAGCTATTTAAATATACCTATGTATATGTACTTCACATTAAAAAAATATGTACCTGGGGTATATTTTAGATACTTTGTTGTACGTACCGTACAGAAACTAGCTACCATTATTAATCTTTTTTTAACCAAAAATTTATATATGTGAAATTTTACATTATTTTTGAATCATTTACAGTCCAATATAAGCTTATTAAGTAGGTATTTTAAAGGTAACGTAATAAAATAAATACTAAATAATATCCAATGTAATAATATAAATAATCCACGATTTACAGAAATTTGTATTGTATTATCTCATTTAGATAGTACCACCTTTACCATCACTGCTACTGTAATGAAAGGCAACCCCTCTCTCTGGCTTTTGGCTAATACTCGTATTACTACCAACTTTTAAGCCAAGTCAAGGCACATGCAACTTGTTTGGGGCATTTACGATTGACTTGGCCGATAAGTCTTTGTGTGTTTTATCGTCGACAATTGGAAAATTGAACAATGAGTGTCGCTCGGCTGCCGAATGAAAAACTCTCCAGCTCGAACTCCAGCTGAAAGTGTGAAAGACTTTTTGGGCTGCAGTCTTGGATATGATGTAACCCCCCACAAAACAGACTATATCTATGGGATCATTTCTCTGTTTATTTTAACGGTAACAAAAGCCATCTGCCATCTGCCGACCATAAATATTGTTTTGCCCAAAGAATAAAGCGATCATATTTTGTAATAACCTTACATGGCTATCACATCGAATTATTACCCAATCCAAAGTGAGCCAATGCACCTACCTCTGAATGGAGGGGTAAAAAACTACTTTCACTAGCCGCCGTAGTCGCAGTCGCATCGGAATTAAAATCACCCAGCAATATGCAAGTTTTTTGATCCGACAAAAGTGCAGAGACTGGCGATCGATGGCCTTCGCGTCGGGACGAGATGCTTGGATCAGCAGCTGCCGCCGGGGACATGACAAGATGGCCAACAAGTGCGTCTAAAACCAAGTTAGAGCCACATAAGCAGCATCAGCAGGCTAAATTTTATGGCTAAATGTACCGCCGGGCTACCGTTAACAGCTTTAGCTAGATGTAAACCTAGATCCGTGCCAGATCAGACCAGCAGCTGCTCATTGGAGGTGGACCAAGTGGGGAAACCAATCTTGGACGATAGGTTAAATGACTTTATAACTTAAGGTAATTAGTTCACCTTAAACAAGTCCAACTACAAGTCATTAAAGTTATTATTTAATATTATAAATAAATAAATTTAACAAGAGATTTTAAACTAGTTTAAAAGCTTCCGTAGAAACAGCAAGAGTATCTTTAAACTTTATTATATTCTCTGTCACGAACCAACAATCATAGTGTCATTAGAATGTAACCTAAATAACATAAATAAATACCTATCTTTATTGTTTCAATTAAATATATTCACCACGTTTTCAATTAGTTCAACTTAATTGATGTAGGTATGGCACAAACGTGTTTATTTTTTTACAAAACAAAAAAGTTAACAATTTTATCAAAAAGTGAAGGAGCACATAATTATTGAGTTCCCAGAAACATTTTTCCAATTGAGATTTTTGTGGCCAAAACACGCGCTGCCATCACTATTTGGCATTCCGACAGGCACCGTACAGATTTCGAATGCAACGAACTGGGGAAATATGACAAACTGCTGCGGAATAAATCGGAATTCTTGCCACAACTTTTGCTTCTATGTTGCAGCATTTATATGTATATCTCTTTTATTTTTTATGTTTGTGCAACCTGACACGAACCGAAATCAATCCCAAATGCAGTTGAACAAATCACGAGCACAACAAGAAAAGTCTTAACAAGATTGGGCCAGACCAGATCGGCGGCTAATGATTCGGTTTAGCTGCTGTTGGATGGATGCCGAGGCAGGTGCGGTTCCATAACTGTTAATGACTTTCGGTGGCGGCCCCAAAGTGCAATGGAAACACATTTAATGAGTGCCACAGACACATAACACAGCATCGGTCTGAGACTGCTTGCTGATCAATTGCTTGATGCCAGTTGCATCCAGTGAATGTCATTGGCTATGTTATATTGAAAGTGAATGTTCATTGCCCCCTGGGTGAAAGGATCGGCTTTTGGGATGGCCGCTAATGAGGCGGAGGCGGGCATTCTTCACCACCGTTCATCTGCTATTGCACTCGTAAAAATAATATGAAATGAAATGGTAAAGCATTTCATAAAACAAAGTTTAAGGTATTAACATTAAATGTATTACTTAGAAAATTTATTTTCTTATATTTTTATCATGTTAAGGAATAGTTTCCACCTCCACTGATAAACCAAGGAAACTTATCGTAAAGCAAATCAATTTTCTAGCCTCCTAAAATGTTTCTAAATACACAAATTGACTTTATCTGACCGAGAAATTTTGACAGGAACCATAAAAATCTATCCTTAAAATGTCTAGTTAATATTTTTTACTATAATAAAACGTATTAGCTAGTTCCCTGACAATTTTATTACAAAATAAGCCCCTTTTAAGGTAAATTAATTTGATAGTTAAATTGATGTTTTTTTGCTTTGCTTGCTTATTAATAGCATATTTTAAATGTCATAATAATAACTCTTTTAAACTCATTTAATATCAACTAAAATAATGATACTCTGTATTTCCAAGTGCACTCTTTGAGTTACAATTGTGAAACCGTCAGACAGCCCTTAATTTGCCTATCAATGCTCGTTTTTTCTCCTTTTCAATTTACCTGATGACGGATTGCTGCATCTCTCGGAGCTTTGAAATATGAGAACCGACCGCTCCAAGTCACGCAATTCAAGTGTAAAATTACATTTTCTTCATTCATAAAATGCAACATGTTGCAGTCTGGCGTTGCAGAGAAAAGCGTGAGCATTTCCCCCTCCGTAATGAGGCAACCACAATGCAGTTGTGTTGTGGGTGCCATGGAATGTTGGAGCTGAGTTAAGCTAAGGGTAATCCACAAGTCTGGCCGTAGATGTAATACCAGAAGGCGTGAAAAGTCGGTTATTTGGTCAGCAGTAGTAGTACCAGTATACCGGACACCCGCAGACATCTTTTCAATTATATAATTAACCAGTTATGTTATGGATTTAGAAAAGCGTAAATATTTTACCATAAATAT